CAGCAGTTCTCGCCCAGCACAGCCTCAGAACACGCTGCAGTACAACGCGACTCTTTGTCCACCTCGCCGGTCCTTGCCGGCTCCCTTCAGCAGAAGATAAACCCAAGCGACTTTACTTTTGAGCAGCTTTTACAGTCAAAAGAGCGCCTCCAACCTGTCGTAGAAGACCAGCCAACGTCGACACCGAACGCGCCCCAACAGCAGCAGCAGCAGCAGCAGCAGGCGCAGCAGCAGGCGCAACAGCAACAGCAACGTACTGGTTGCACTAATTGCGGAGTCGTTGACACGCCCCTGTGGCGACGCGACACCGAGGGCAAAACCATCTGCAATGCTTGTGGTGAGTGATCTCTCTTCATCTCATCTCTTTCATTTCCCGTCCTACGCCGTCACGTGTCAACCCGTGGTTGGTGGGTTCGTGGGCGTCCGTTTCCAAAACACACCCCGTGCACTCCATATCACATTCGCAGCATTCCGTTGCATCTGAAACGTGTTCCGTGCATGCTTCTGCCGGTCAACATGCTGATTGGCCATTGTCATTTCCTACGTCTCTTTCCCTACCTACCGCTTGGTAGTGCAGTAACAGTGTGCTGATTGAAATGTGTGCAACTCGTGTGCGCATCGCTTGGGTTTTTGCTCTTTATTCCATGTAGGCCTTTACCTCAAATCACGCAAAGTCGCACGTCCCCCATCCCTGGCTCGCACGCCAACGCCCACTGCGACAGCTGCAGCTCCCGCTCGCCAACCCCCAAACGGAACTGGGGAAACAGATATGTCCAACCTAAATCAGGCATCTTTGGCTGTACCAGCGACATCGCCTAGCCAACCCCAATCGTCGAAAAATCAGGAAGCATTATCATCATCTCAAACTGAGAGCTCTGGGCAGCCTCAGGCAAAACCCTCTTCGAAAAGTTCGACTCCCGCCAAGTCTATATCTGCCTCAGGTGCACACAATGTTTCGATTGGAGGCACGTGTCCAGGTGACGGACGATGTGATGGCACTGGAGGATCTAGTGCTTGTGCAGGGTGTCCCACACTCAATAACGCACTCGCCATATCAGGAAGATTAGAGATGACGGCTCCTGCAGACGAACCATCACCGTCCGCGCCCGCGCGAGGTGTCACCCCCACCGGTGATGCACCATCACCCGGTGTCGATACTGAAAGCCCAGCGTCAGGGCCTGCGAAGAAGGTCAAATCTACTGTCGGAGCGCTCAGTTGTGCCAACTGTGGTACGAGTACAACCCCGTTGTGGAGAAGAGATGATGTTGGTAACAATATCTGCAATGCTTGTGGTGCGTTTCAGCTTTCGTTTCAGTTTACATGCCCTTGCCATACTTCGTATCTGGCGCGCCCATTGGCTTTATCTCCGCAAACTCCATTCACTTCGTAAAATTTCTTGCGGAACGCACGTTCATCTCGCGATTGTCGCGCGTGTCTATACCTCGTTTCTAGAATCAGGGTGCCCGCCAGCCCAATTTATCATTCGCGTAATGGGAATTCAACTTATCCTTTTGGTTTATCTTCCTTCTCACGATTTGTGGGGATGCGTATTGCCATATTGGATTGGTTGATGAATGTTCTTGGCATCTGCCGGACCATTTTGATTTGACACATCATTGTTTTTTTTTTGCCTTATCATCGTTTGGTCGGTTTCAGCGCTGACCATTGGATTGCTGTCCAGGTCTTTACTTCAAGCTTCATGGCACACATCGTCCCAACTCCATGAAAAAGACTGTCATCAAGCGACGGAAACGCGTCCCAGCGGCCGCAGGGATGTCGTCGGGGCGCATGTCAGATCAGGCTGCGGCCGAGGCACTCGTCTCAGTCGGCCGTCTTGGTAGCCAACACGCGAACACCGAGGAGAGTGATGGTGAGATAGAAGAGCCTCAACCTCGCCGTAAGCGAGCACGACGTGGAAAGAGCGATCGGGAGAAGGGCCGCTTGCGCGAAAAGGATGACGATGAAGATATGGGGGAGGCAGAAGAGGAACCAGAACCTGTTAGTCGGCGGAAGAATGAGCGGACTACGCGGAAAGCGTCCCGCGACTCACATGGTTCCGCATGGGCAGAAGGCACGAGCATACAGCAGATTGCAGAGGCTCTGAGTGGCGTCACCGGTGATCGTGCCCATTCGTTACCGCGCAGTTCCGATATGGAACGCTTCGCACATGCTCACCATCTTGCACGCACTGGATCGGGCCATGGCGCATTCATGGCAGCGCCACATGCTGGATTCGATCTCCCTCCTCTCAATGCCGCTCTCGGTGAACGGTTTGGCGGCTACGGTCCTCCTAGCCTCTTGAGTAATCGTGATTTCGGAGGAACGCCATCTAGCTATATGCGCTCTGGTTCCAATGCGCCAAGCAGGACGCATTCACCGTTAAACCCTGGTCTTACTGCTCCTGGTACAGGGTACGTCTTACCGCCGCCTCATGGCATGGGTCATGGATACTACGGACCCCTCGGTCATTCGCCCCCGCCTCATGATGTTTTGAACGGTGTCTTGACCCCAGGTGTTCCAACCGCGAGTGAGTTGAGGCAACATTACCTTGAACTGCACGAGCAGCGGAAACGGCTTGAGGATATGATCTCAAAAACGGATGCTCTGATGGCTGGTGTCAAGCGAGGTCTTGACGACATGGCGAACATTTCCCAGCAGCAACATCAGCAGCAACAGCATTCTCCTCAACATTCTCATCCCTCCCCTGAACAGCCTGCACAGCAGACTACAGTCTCATCCACCGCGGTGCCTTTGACTCGTTCTGGCGACAAGGACAGAAATAGAGAACCTGTTTGGCCCGTGTCACCCGAGCAGCCCCCTCGCGAATGACCCGACTCTCCTATGACCATCGTCCCTCCAAAAATGACTTCAATGTCATCGCTGTCATTAGCTCTGCAAAATCATTTCGTCCCGTTTTGTCCATAACCCCACTCGCATCACCTTCACGACAGGTCACCCCTGTGATCATTTTGCTTTCTATATGTTTGACCGACGATCGGTCTGGGACTAGTTGTTGAGCACTTTTATCCATCAGCTCAACACGTTTGTGAACTATCTATTCCTCTATCTCTTCATATCTTGGTTACCCCAGTTCATGCTTTGCACGTCTTCCATGTCAATATTAGGTTTGTCTTGTCGCTTTTTGATATCTTCGCTATGCGTATTGCCCAGTACTATGATCTGTTTAAAACACTTTTCTACGAGCACCCCTGTTCTTGTCCTTTATGATGCTTTGTTTTGCGTATATTATATCTATGTCGCCTCATAGTGTAGATCGCTGGTCATTGATGGTGGTCGGTGTGCATTTTCTAATCCTTATATACTCATCGTTTATACAGCGTTTCGGCTGGTTGGCCTACCCTACTCCCTAGAGTCCGCGTTCTGTTGTCTCAGCCTCTATTTCTGTTTATTCAGCAATCACATAGTATTTTTGACCACACCCCTGCAGTTCGACCGGTCTCTCAAACATATATATCACTCGGATGCTCGGGAGCCGTAGGCCTTTCCCATAGAACGTTGGCTCTCCAGTTTTGGCTTATTCCTTCGGTCGTGGTCCACAGTTACGCCGTAGAGACAATTTAACCGACGCGACAGTCTCAGGCCTCAGGGTGAGCACAAGTTCGTGACTGCCAAATGGTTGAATTATCATCCAGCTCGCTGCATGTTTTTGCGTATCAACATACGAGCGCATCCTTGGTTATGTCTGCTTGTCACCTGCTGTCCTTGCACTCAAGAGGCAGCCTAACATGTGCCAAGGCACCAAATGTCCCTGTCATTGACTTGTGCTAGATGTGCCACTCTGCCCAGATCAAGGATTAAGTTCCCTTGGACCGAGTTGTTGCTCGTCCGACTGGTATACAGGTCACTTTATTTTTGTCTTGACTGGAAAAAAAACTTTCACGTGTAGCCTAACTAGCCTTCTCCTTCGCGAAACGCATTCGAGCAGTTTTGGAGCTCTACTATACTCAGTGGCGCGACCTAGTATCACAGAACGGTTGTGGAAGCAACTTTGATGCCATTACGAAGAGCATTTGACTCATGTCGCCTCAAACTTGCGGGCAATTTTCCGTCTCCTCCATGCGTATACTCAGGCTGTCACACTCCGAAGATTTTTAATCTATTCCGATTTCTGTCCTTTCGAGAGATACGCTCTATCTATCTAGTCTGGTGTCTCGGTCGCATCTGTGGGTATACGAATACCCTGACGTGACCCATCAGTCTGCCATTCTGGGCACCCTGCCGTTTGAGACGTGCCATCCTATGAGATGAGGTGAGTTTGTATGTACTGTCGATTAACTTGAAATAGGACTGTCATATACACGAGCTAAACGCGTACCGCTCCGAAGATGTAGCTGGGAGGGTCAATATCAACCTATCGGAGCGCCGTGGCATCAAATGGGTACCGTCTCAGAGGCCCAAAAGCTTGGCATGTTATCCGAGGCTTTTATGTCAAGACTGGTGTGCTCACAGTCCGGATCTGTACTTTGACGTTCACGAATGTCGGAATATCGGCTACAACGTTTCAGTTGCTGATAGTCGGAGGGGGCCTAAGCGGTTATCGCGGTCTCAGGCAATCTGATATCGACTGCGTGGACCACGAGCAGATGCTTCGATGTGATCCGAGTGAAGGACTTGATATGTAACCTGGGATAACAGAGATCGCGACGACGAACCAGGTAGGTAGAAGAATAGAGGAAGAATCTGCAACGAGCGCAGTCGAAGTTGAGCTGCCCAAGCTGTACCATGAAATTTACCTTTCCCAGGCCAGGCGCCGCCTTCTAAAATAATATCCCAAGTAGTCGAAAGTTGATGGTCCCAAATTTAATCAATCATCGGCATCTTCTCCAGGTCGAGAGCCTCCACGACATTTCAAGGCCAAATTGGAAATAGAAATGAGGGACCAACCTATAGCTATTCAGTGTCCACGTCTACGAGCTGATTCTTGGGGCGCTGGCATATATGACTGAATGTGGCGGGCGCCAATTCCCGCGGCTCGGAACGCACCATTAAAATTCTTCCACTGAAAGTCTGAAACATAAAACAGCATGAGTCATTATGAACCGGGTTGGTCCCAGAAATATATCTATATAAATCATCAAGCATTAGGCTTCCACTCAGCAAGCCACTCCTTCATGTACATCAATGCTGCTTCCTGCACGGCTGCAATGGTCGGGTCTACATAACCATTCTCCGTGATTAGATCTGAGCAGTGGAATCCATCGCCCTCATAGATCGGCATGTTGGGATTGCTAGGCTTATTCAGTCCATCAGCAGAGACAGTTGCTTCACGCCAAGGATCGCGCAGGCCGTTGGCGAAGAAGAGACGTGGAACATTCACGTTCCAACCGGCATACATCGTGTCGGTCTGTGTAGTGGTCGGCTGAGGTGGATAGGTAAACGCTTCAGGAAACATGTTCACGCATTGGCGCTGAAAGATTATGTTGAAGAATGTTCATGTTTCGGATACAATCAATATACGTACCTCGTCGTAAATGGGTTGCAGGATGCGGCTCACAATTGCGGGCTGGCCTTCAGGGGGGCCAACCTGGTACCATCCGACTTGATTGCACCTAGAATAATTGTCAGAGTGGATCTTCGAGCTAATGAGCATACATACACCATCCAAAACCACGACCTGCCTGGATTGTTCACGGTAACATCAGTCCACCAGGACTGGCTCGTGTTATACGTCCCAAGACAAGTTCTAGTTTCACAGTCAGCCAGTCCGGACGACCAGGTCCCAAGGATACGCACTCAGCATCCTCGGATCCACAGACTTCACTATCGAGTTTAGCCATGGCAACCAGAAATCAACAAGACTGCCTACCATCGTCGTAGTATGTAGTATTCCAAAAGTTTCCCCAAGAGTAGATGGCGTTTTCAAGTCCCCATCCCTCAGGTCCGGCACTGACACCGTTCTTAACCTCGAGTGCATCACAGAACTGGAAGAACATTGCCCCTGGGCCAACGTCAGGCTGCAGAGATTGCCACTCGTACAAGGTGTATAGGACTGTTGACCCAAGCAGAGTCAGTCGAGTCAAGAAGGCAGCAGAAAAAGAATGTCACAAAAGGAATATTGGAGGTAAGCATATGGAAAAGGAGGAACTGTGCGCGCTGGTGAGGTCAATATAAACTACAGATGTTGCATGGATCAGAAGGCATGCCAACCATGCTTCGTTCTACACAACCACATATGTAAAACTGAAAAGACAAGAATGACTCACGTGCACTGGCGAAATCGTCTACGTGTACAACATCGCCGAGGCCAAATGTTTCCTTGAGCGTCTGAATTCCAGCGGTGTCATTAACCGTGAACATCTCATCCAGATATGCAACCACTGCCTGTACATCAGATGAACAGTTCTGTGGCATGTACTCGCGAATAGGTGTGAAATAACCATAAAAGTCGCTGTTTGGGTCAGAGAACAGCGATCCAAGGCCAATTTCAACGAACGGACACGTCGCATGCGGATGCATTCAGTTAATTATAACGAGAAGCAATCAGATTAATTGGAGATGCGCAGTGATGTAACATACGTGATGGCTTCTACGACGGCAGAAGATGCATATGCAGCCCAGAAAATTCCCGGTTTGCTTTACGTCAATCATTACGCTGAAACATCAAATTTTGTTTCAAATTCTCACTTGACCATCGTCCAACTTGTGAGGCCTCCCGAGTAGCTCCCTCCGATCAATATCCACGGAGCCTGACCTGGTTTCACAGCATCACCACCAGGCATAGGAAGGTCGGCCGTGGTGGCAAAATATACGAGATCATCGATAGCCTGCTGGATGGTGAGGAGAGCTAGGGATTTTGGCGTAAGGTTGTCGTATGGATTGGAATAACCAAAGAAACGGTGCTCGATGAGGATGGCTGCACCATTTTGTTGTTGGGTGATGAGACCATTGAGCGTGTCATTGGTAGTGTAGCCTTCGTATCCTGAAATAAAGTATTTTGAGAGAAAGGTAACATATTGGTTATAGTAAAACCAACCATCTGCATCCACTTCTCCAGGCGTCATCAATATAATGGGACCGCCTTGAGCGCACACGTCAATATCACTTGAAGCACACTTGATCATCCTCGCGACATACCAGGTTCATAACACTCCCAGTTCATCCAATATCGTTGCTTGAAGGTTCCGAGGCCTGGATTATCGTGGTCGATGAGCTGGTCGAAGTGATAAACAGTCGTAATATCGAGTGCTGTGCCATTTGGTGAAATGATAGAACGTTGAGGTGCTGAGAGCTTGGGGAGAGACTGCATGCCACGAAGCATGGCATTAGGGATAGCTGCTCGGGCAAGGCCTGAAAGGATGAGCAATGCAACCCACATCATGTCAGTTAGTGGGGGGTGAGATAACATGATCGTGGTCGGGGAAACGCTTTTTATATGTAGTCATGGCAGGATGCGTAAGTGAGTAGTGTAACACTTGCAATTTGACAACTTTGCTACTCGCTTCGTAAGAGAAGCCTGAAGAGGATATTTTTGGACATACAGGTTGCTCGACGGCCTTACCGTGGTCGCCCATCAAAAGGAACTTGACGAAAGACCCAGTACGTATTCTCTGAAGCCTGGACTTGCGGCTCGCGCAGCTGAGATGGATTTAGATGGTGAATACTGCTCAGCAGATATTTAGATGCTCACCGGTCTGATGAAATGTACCTCAAGGGTCAGCGGCTTGACCTGGTAATCTTCTGATCTTCCAGGTATGTGTCGTTGGTAGGAGAAAGACTGTATACGGCCAACATGACTACTGAGGAAAGCTCCTTTGGAGAAGACCAATTGTACCGCGGTCAAAGTTGCCCTTGGTCTTGCTCTTTTGGGAAAAGGTCAGGAAGATGCACCTGACACAGGCCCGCCGGGGTCGTACTGCCGAGAGTGTAGCGGGAATCTGCTGCAACTGTTATCTTGTACGTATGGTCAGCGTGATACTAGGTGCCAGCCTGAGTTCGTTATTCCTTCAACACCCCGAAGGCCCTCGGGCTATTAGTAGTGTTGCTGATAAGTAAATTGGCCAACCCGATAGTCTCCACTAGCCTGAGTCACTGGCAAGTCGAATGCAATGCATTCTGCATCAGAAGTCGGAAGGACTTGAACTTAGCTCGTCGGAGTTGGTTTCGAAGGCACTAGATTTGTCCGAGTTACATCATCATACGTGTCACAACGACCTACTAGTCTAGTAGTTCTCTTCAATGGTGTCCGTCCGAACTAGTGCTTTAAGAGTCAGGCTGGCTGTTCAAACTTGCAAGTAAGTTAATTACAGTTCTGTGGATCAAGGACAACAACATCCAACCACCTCTAACGACTGGCAGCTGGTTCTAGCTAATTTGCATTGTTTGACCTAGTAGGCGGTATACCACTGGCCGCCGTTAATCACCGGTGGGTTGTTCATTCTTGCTTGGTTTCAATTGATATTATTACTCCATTGTAACAGGGAACGAGCTGTTTTGTGGGTGCTATCAAGCAATGTGCACCACATACTACAACAACACGCTACCATCATGTAGTGCGAACGCCGCGTCCAGCCTGTCCGGGTACAGCACAGGCGTTTCAAACTTCGTCATTACTTGCCCTTACAAGTCTCGGGCACCACCCATTTCGTCTAGAGGCCCTTGTTATCCAATTCTGTCAGTTGTCGTTTCCCTAACTCTGGCACTTTCCTACGAAAGCACGTCATGTGGATTCGACGCTCTTGACTAATTGACATAATGTCAAAATCATGCAAGTTGGATGTCATGGATTCTGAGGACTCACCTGTCTATGAATTTGATATACTTCAGGGTTATCGAGAATCTGTGGTTCGCGAAGTTCGTGAATAATGTTTATGTTTCTCAAGCCAATCGATGCCGTGCTACTAGTGATCATGCAGTCCATGCAGATCGCCGCCCCCACCTGGTAATATTTGGTCGTGTGGGCTAGCTCCAACACGACATGCTTACCTATGGTATCTTTCACAGCGAACTATATAAGACTGCCTCCGCTTTCACCGAAGAGGACGAAACCTCAACTTAAGGACCGCAAGACTGTTCTTACTCACTGCGTCGAATGGAGAACGAAACCAATCAGCCAGTAACCCCACTGCTCTCGGATTATTGATTAATCAAGTTTTATAGGTCACCTGAGCCTTCGCTACCAGATTTTTGGGCGGTTCCAGATTTTAACAAACATCCTATATTGTCCACATTATTTCGTATACTCTGTCTGATCTCGATGTCAAGACCGTCTCTCGAACATCACTGGAAGTCCAAGATCAACGATGATGAATGGGAGAAACATAGGAAGAGTTTTATTGACAGACTGAGTAATACCAACATAGCGGTAGGGAACATCGATATGACCTAACCATGTACTGATTTATGAAATTGCAGGCGGGCTTGGCATGTAGTACTTCTTAGGGTCAAAGAAAGAAATCTAATACTGGATTGCAGGTACTCACTACTTCGGCGGTCTTTCTTTCAACACAGCCGCCTCTGGCATCATTTCTTCCGTACACCATACACACTTGCTATATTTTAGCCTTCGGATCTTTTGCGCATGCCCTCGGTGGCCTGCTTACTGGTCTAGCTGTGGTCAACATATACGAAGCCTGTGATCGGATATGGACTAACGAAGTTTGTAGCAGACCTGACTGCACTTATGCGTATTCACAAACTTGTAGGTCCTGACGGCCACACGCTTTCGGCTGTGCTGTACACTCCTGTTTATCGCCTGGCCGGCTATATCTCTCACGCTTTCTATCATTTTTTTGATGTCATGTAAGTGGTCCCACATCGATGCCGAGATCGATCTAATAGCATCCTATAGCTCTTATGATCGCGTGTTACGCTTCTGGACTGTGGTGGGTTCAATTCTTGGCGACAATAGAGATATTGTCCTGGGCGTGGATGCCCCCTCTCTTTGCTTGGTGCGCACTCGAAAGGACTCTACCACCAAAGTTGCGGGCATACAGACGGCAGACTGGCACCAGTTCGCCCCCCTCAGGTATATATACTTTCGAGGAATCGTAAGGAATTGCGTAACTCGCTACTCGATCAGGTTGTGTTTGAGCACATGTACGGCCAACGTGCCAATGGTTTTTGGAGCATACCCAAATATGATACATTGTATATTATCAGGGACTGGCTGGTGCCAGCAGTTGTCTAGATTCAGTGGCACTGTTTAGCCTGTATAGAGGTTTCTTTCGAGAGCTCCAATGAGTTATCAGAGCTTCATAACGAAGCTTAGGACGCTTCTCGACAGCAGGCAATACCACACGACTTAATGTGGCGCAAGGTAATTTCCATGGTTCATGCCCAGTATGTTGAATTCCTCGAAAAGGGGCTTTACAGCGCCTACTACAGATCGATGCAATGCATTGAAATCCAAGACCAGGACACGTATTATATGCGCGGACTATTTGATGAGAGGCCATAACTGTACAGGGCCGTAGTACGCGAATTGCGATGGGTCAAGTGGTTTATAAAATTTTTGCTGTTGAATCGATGTCTGGCGTCTAGCCATATGAATCGACTGTAACACGCGGACGGATTGAAATTGAGTTCCATTACGTTTAATACGCGCATATATGATATCACCGAGGCCACAACTTAGCCTAATTTCGGAATCAAGGAGGGGCATCGAACACAGCTGTGTTCTCACCAGTCATTCTGATCTTCAAATCTTCCCATATGGACTGCTGTTCAAAACCAACACATCCATTGCGTACCTTGATAGGGATCAACTGTCTTGCCCTAAACAATTTTCTTCTTGACCCTGTATGATGATTTGGTACAGAATGCGTGTGTGCGCATGCACATCACCGTATTTTGGGAACAATTTCCAGCGCGACCTGCATATGCGACAAGGTTCAACGGCTCGTAAGATCGGCGCACTTGACCTTTATATGTCATAAGAAACAACGTTGAATGGGCTCGAGGGATGAGATGAGTGTCGTAGTATTCCAGAGGACAAATGATATCTTGGTACAAGACGACCGGTTGAATTAATAATGACCGTCGATATGTTTAAAAGAGGTCCATCAAGAGAGCCGAAACCGAGTCCAGCGTCCAGCGCGTTTTATTATTACATGAGGATGGGTGCTCGAAGAGCCGCAGCAGCAGGTGTGGCAGATGACGTAGAGATAGCATCGCGTCCTGTGGTTACGAGTATGACTGTGCCTGAGCCGTGTCACTGCATCACTGTGTGATGTTGTTATTGAGAGGAGGCGAACTACTTGCAATATCTTTTTCAGGATGGTCCTCCATTTCTCTCTTGCTGATGCGTTCCTCTACATGATGAAATGGAGTTCAAATATTCGGAAGGACAAAAACGATATACATGATTGCCCTTGGCATACGGAACATCAACGACTGCTGAGCGATACTCGCGCAACTCGATCTCCAAACGCAGGGTTGTGATAACGTATCGTGGGGATTGAGTCGTGTAGAACTTAGAAGACTGAGAACATCGAGTTTAGAAAAACAGTACTATTTTGTAGATGAACGACGTACGTGAGCATGGTGTGGTGTCATCGAATAATCATTGGGGTACACGACCTTGGTTGGCTGGACAGGACGTCGTGCACTGATGCAACGAGATCTGTCTACAAACGTATCATAGACAGCTTGAAGGCCGCCCTTGTTGCGCGTTCCAGGCTCGTAGACTACCAGTCGCAAACATGTTTGTGTCTGGCACGGCTGCGTAGCAAAACAAAATGATCGTATTGGCTTGAAGCTTAAAGAACGTCCGGGAAATGGTCGGCCCTGGGGCTATTGCTATTCGAATCTACGTAGAAAGTGGGTCAAGTCACAGGCCGGGCTGGCTTCAGGCGGAGTTTAAACGTTGCGCAGTGGCAAAGCGTCACGTGTCACTCCCCTCCCTCCGTGTTAGTGCAATGCACGAGCCTATATCATGGACATCACGAGTATATCTATATCTTTGGCCCTCACGCACTCTCCAGAACTAATGAAATGATACCGCAATGTGGCTTTTCAACGCTTCCTACGCTGCTCGGGTGTTCTTAAGCATACTCCAACCCCCAGCCTCATCTGTTACTGTTGCACCTAGTGCCCTACCATCAATCACAGGTGTGCGCACGCTGACAATGAATGGGGCAGGCATGCGAGTGGGCTATTGCATAAGTAGGAAAGGAAGCTGGTGGGTAAGGAGGGGGATGGACGAGAAATGGGCAAGAGGTGCTAATAATGTGCATCTTGAGTGGAACTCGAATGTAACATTCCAACAGCAGATGCGGCGAGCGGGCAGCCATTTATAGTGGCGGGCTGCGCGATGGTGATGATGAGCGCATGGCATAGAGCGATATTTGAACTGCGTCTGAATCCAGCTGCCGAAGCCCCAGACTGGCCCCTCCCTGACTTTCACGAAGCTTGAAGGGTGAGCGCTGAGCGTTCAGCCAGGATAATTAATAAGGTGATATATAAGCTAGGCGGCTTCTGCGGCTCTTGAAGACATGTAAGTAGTACATAACTTGCTCGTGGTATCAATGACGCTTCACCTGACGGCTCTCGACCTTACACTGACATCCACACCGCCACGGGGAAGTCGGCCCGCAACTTGGTCGAGGGCCTGCATGATATGCAAGTTGAGGACGTGTGCGGGAAGGAGGGGCTTTACAAGCTTGATAATACCGGGTTTCAGTATGGGCGAGAAGTGGCGATGCATACCAGATTCAAGTTCTTGAACGATGATGAGATCGAGCGTGAATACTCTGAGAGCATCGACCTCATCAAGAGGGTTACAGGGGCAACCAAGTTGTCGTCTTCGATCACAGTACGTTGGCCACTAAGTTGAAACGACGTCTTGATGCACATTTCACGTCACAGCTTTTCGTCGCCGTTGCCCAGGCGAGCTAGATGATGACCCACAGAGACGTCAACCAGTCCCCTGGGCTCGTGTAGACCAAACGCCCCGCGGCGTCCATTGCTCGTGTTCACAGGCATCTCCCACCAACAGAAGCTCCTTCTCTCCTCCGCAGACGCTTCCAAATCATAAACCTTTGGCGTCTGATATCGCATGCAGCTGTAGATTGGTCGCTTGCATTATGTGACTTCCGGAGTGTCCATTTCGAGAAAGACTTGGTGCCTGTGGATAAGACGTCGTGCATTAGCCTTGAAACGGACATAAATGCAACGAGATTTATTCATGAAGGTGTCATGAACAGCAAATAGCGTCGTCTGAGGCTCGCGAACAGATTGTGAGAGGTATCTTGCCTTTGAAATCACATACAGTGCAGAGAAAATGGAGTGGCTGCAGCCTGGGCCCTCGGAAGCCTCGAGAAATGAAACGGACTCTATATTGGCATCCACACTTCTTCCCAAACGTAGGTTACAGTAATATAAACAACTTGTTTAACCACAGCCCCAATACTTCAATCTATTATCATGCGGACGGCCTCCACTCAGCAAGCCACTCCTTCATGTACCTTAATGCTGCTTCCTGCACGACCGCGACAGTTGGGTCTACAATGCCATTCTTCGTGATAAAATCCGAGCCATGGAATCCATCACCCTCATAGATCGGCATGCTGGGATTGTCAGGCTTATTCAGTCCATCAGCAGAGACAGTTGATTCACGCCAAGGGTCGCGCAGGCCGTTGGCGAAGAAGAGACGTGGAACATTCACGTTCCAACCGGTATACATTGCATTGATCTGTGTAGTGGTCGGCTGGGGTGGATAGGTGAACGCTTGAGGAAACATGTTTACGCATTGGCGCTGAAGATTATGTTGAAGAATGCTTATGTTTCGAATACAATCAATATACGTACCTGATCGTAAATGGGTTGGAGGATGCGGCTCACAATTGCAGGCTGGCCCTCAGGAGGACCAACCTGGTACCATCCGACTTGATTGCATCTAGAATAATTGTTAGAGTAGATATTCGAACTAATGAGAATACATACACCATCCAAAACCACGACCTCTCTGCATTATTCACGGTAACATTAGTCCAGTAGGGCTGGCTCGTGTCATACGTCCCAAAACAAGCTCTAGTTTCACAGTCAGCCAGTCCGGACGACCAGGTCCCAGGGATACGTACTCAGCATCCTCGGATCCACAGACTTCACTATCGAGTTTAGCCATGGCAATCAGAAATCAACAAGACTGCCTACCATCGTCGTAGTAGTATGTAGTATTCCAAAAGTTTCCCCAAGATTTGATGGCGTTTTCAAGTCCCCATCCCTCAGGTCCGGCACTGACACCGTTCTTAACCTCGAGTGCATCACAGAACTGGAAGAACATTGCTCCTGGGCCGGCATCAGGCTGCAGATTTTGCCAGTCGAACAAGTTGGATTGAACTGTTGGCCCAAGCAAAGTCAGTCGAGTCAAGAAAGCAGCAGAAGAATTTGAGAAAAAGAATATCGCAAAAAGAAAAGGAGAAGCTGCGCGCGCTGGTGAGTGCAATATAAACTACAGAAAGACATGTTAACCATGCTGTCTATTCTACGCAATCACATAAGCCTAAATATAGGACAAGGACGACTCACTTGCACTGGCGAAATCATCTACGTGTACGACATCGCCGAGGCCAAATGCCTCCTTGAGGGTCTGGATTCCAGCCATGTCGTTAGCTCCGTACAACTCATCCAGGTAGGTAATCACTGCCTCTACATCAGAGGAACAGTTCTGCGGCATGTACTCGCGAATAGGGGTGAAATAGCCATAATAGTCACTGTTTTGGCCGAATAAAATGAATGACCATGTTGCAATATATTCCGATGGTAATAACGGTCGGAGAAAATCACATCAATGAGACACGAGCAGCGATTTCAATAAATTGACGTACGTGATTGCTTCTACGACCGCAGAGGATGCATATGCGGCCCAGAAAAGTCCTGGTTTGCTGTACACGAATCAATGACTGCGTTTCACTTCTGGCAAGTTGCTCACTTGACCATCGTCCAACTTGTGAGGGCCCCCGAGTAGCTTCCTCCGCTCAGTATCCAAGGGGTCTGACCTGGTTTCACAGCATTACCCCCAGGCATGGGAAGGTCAGCAGTTTTCGCGAAATACTCGAGATCATCAATGGCCTGCTGGATGGTAAGGAGCGCGAGAGATTGTGACGTGAGGTTGTCGTATGGATTTGAATAGCCAAAGAAACGGTGTTCGATGATGATGACTGCACCATTCTGTTGTTGAGCGATGAGACCGTTGATGGTTTCATTGGTAGTGAAGACCACGGAGTCTAAAAATCAAGTGCTTGAGAGAAAGTCACAAATTAAGAATGGTAAACTGACCATCCCCGGGATCTTCTCCGGGTGTCATCAAGATGATGGGGCCACCTACAATGCAACGTTACTCAAAGTTGCACCTCTATCCTCACGACATACCGGGCTCGTAAAACTCCCAGTTCATCCAATACCGCTGCTGGAAAGTCCCGAGGTCTGGATTATTGTGGTCGATGAGCTGATCAAAGTAATAGACAGTCGTAATGGGTGGGAGTACCGTGCCATTCGGCGGAGTGATGAAACGATCCGGCAGTGGGAGCTTTGGGAGAGAAGGCCTGCCGCGAAGCATTGCGTTGGGGATAGCTGCTCGGACAAGACTTGCAAGCAGCAGCGACGCAAGGGCCCACATTATGTTGAACATTGATGACAGGGATGGCACTCAACAACATGATGATGGTCAAGAAAAGACCTTTTATAGCCACGGCGAGGCACCACACTTCCGAAGTTCTGATCGAGACATGTGCTACTTGCTTCGCAAGGAAGACGCAGTAACAGATGAATCCCAGAATGGAATCGGACTTACAGAGCTGGCAACAGATGGCTCAATAGCTTTCAAATGCACCCATCGAACTGAAATTGGCGAAAGACCCAGTGCGTGTAGATTTGCTCATCGCATTCGGAATCTGAATACGTAGCTTGCACGGCGACTGAGATTTAAATAGCTGTAGATTCTGATCGATAACTCCTGGAATATTACTTGCTACATGATAGGCCAGTGGTGAATTAGAAGCTCACTAACGACTTGCTGGCGGCGCTCACCGTTTGAATGCCATGGTAATCTGACTCGGAGATCGGCTCCGAGGCTGGACCACGGGAATGAGAAGCTGAGACATCTGATTCTTGCAGCACATCATGCGTCAGTGGGAGAACACATGATGACCTGCTGTGGTGACAGTGATGCACACACCTTCAAGTTACACGAAAACTCGGACTTTGCGGTCAAGCGCGCGATCACTGTGCCTAATATGGACTCTGAATCAAGAAGCGCCAACTCAAATTGCAAGTTTGACTCCTGCATCATGGCGGCAAACCATGCAAGCACGTTAATAACCGCTAGCATTATGTGCTAATGGGTCCACTGCGTCATGCTGTCACGGTGCGTGTTCATAGTTCTCTCCTCTACTTACGGTTCTTTCCTCACTGCTATGGCGACCTCTGCTTCATTTCACGGTGTTGTTGGTCTTCAAAATCGAAGTAGATATTGGATTATCAAAAAGAATTCTTGCGATGCGACAAATTCATCTCGGTGATATTCGTATTCATATTTGGTGCCACTGCCAACACCAGTGAGTCTGCCGAAGATGGATTCTACATATTCAAGATGCCCATGACTTATCTTGGCCACCCTCGTACTTTGCTCATTCATCTATCTGTAGACTTATAGCACTCAACGCCAACATCATGAATAGATCACGGACTGTTTGGGGCCGGTGAACCACATCCTGAGCAACGACAAGATTTGCTGATCAACAATATGCTTGGGCAACTTCGTTAACAAGACACTCATCTACACTGTTGCGTCCTAAATCTGATAGACAAAATTTAGAGCCAACCAATCAAAAGAACCAACGACGTACCAAGATTCTCGGTCAGGTCCACTCACACGACGGCAGCTGTAATTTCAGGATGCGAACCCGTCATGACCTAAGACAACAGTCTGGCTGGCAACGTGCCGCGAAGAATAAACAGAACATCAGTAGAGACTTGCCATGCCTTCGACCAAAGAAACTTACTTCTCGAGAACGGTCAAGCGCATCCGAATATAAAAACGACATGGAGCGTAATGAATCTGCAGAAAAGCCATTTCGCGCGATAGGCCCTCGGCATAAACGACATGGTGACAAATAATCAAGCTCATTAATTGCAAGGCATGGGAAAATGTCACTATCATTATGCGCGGTGCCAGTAAGCACTAGTGTAGATTTGCTGGAACTAATTGATCTCACTTCGCCTCCCGAGAGCGCAGACTGCGAGGATTCGCCAGCAAATGGAATACTAATCGACATATTTTGCAAAAACGATTGGTTTATAGATCTCATAGCACCATATCACGGACTCATGAATTCGCGGGTTTCCACTCAGCAAGCCACTCCTTCATGTACCTTAATGCTGCTTCCTGCACGACCTCGATAGTCGGGTCTATACCGCCATCGTACGATATCATATCCGAACAATGGAATCCATCGCTCATATAGATCGGCATGCTAGTCGTGTTAGGCTTATTCAGCCCGTCAGCAGAGACAGTCCCCCCGCGCCAAGGGTCGCGCAGGCCATTGGCGAAGAAGAGACGTGGGACATTCACGTTCCAGCCAGCGTACATCGCGTTCGTCTCTGCCGTGGCAGGCTGAGGTGGATAAGCGAATGCTTCGGGGAACATGTTGACACATTCGCGCTGATGATTATGTTGATGAATGTTCATTTCTTAGATCAAATCTACGTACCTCTCCATAACTGGGCTGGAGGATGCGGCTCACGATCGCAGGTTGGCCTTCAGGAGGCCCAGTCTGGTAGAAACCGATTTGGTTGCACCTAGTAAGATCGTCAGATTAGATATTGATGCGAATGAGAACGCATACACCATCCAAAGCCACGATCTGTTAGCATTATTCACGGTAATATTAGTGAAGTAGATGGCAGTCGGGTCAAACGTCCCAAGACAGGTTCTGTCTTCACCGTCAGCAGTGCAAACGACATCACGTCCCAAGAACACGTACTGGACATCTTGATCATGACAATCTTCACCATCCAGATTAGCTATATCAATCAAAAATAAAACGGACCACATACTATAACGGTAGTATGTAGTATTCCAAAAGTTGCCCCAAGAGCGAATAGCATGATCAACTCCCCATCCCTCAGGTCCGGCATTGACACCGTCCTTGACCTCGAGTGCATCGCAGAACTCATAGAATATCGAATCGGGGCCGGTAGAAGGGTCCAGATCTTGCCAATCCCATAGGTTGTATTGAACTATTGGTTTGAGTAGAGTCAGTTAGGACGCCAAAAAACATTGTCCAAGAACAAATATATGAGTTTGTATCCAAACGGCTGACACAAGACGAATGAAGAGGGTAATACACTGAAGGCAGAACAAACTGAAAGACGTTGTGCGAATCAGAGGGTGCATAGGTGTTCGTTCTATGCATGCATTTAAGATTGAACGAAACGCAAGGACGACTCACGTGCGGTGGCAAAATCGGCAACATGATCAAGGCCGCTGAGGCCAAATGTCTCCTGGAGCGTCTTGATTCCAGCTGTGTCTTTAGCCGCGTACATCCCATCCAGGTAGGCGATCACTGCCTGTATATCGGAAGAACAGTTCTGTGGCATGTGCTCGCGAATAGGGGTGAAATACCCATAATAGTCACTAATTTTGGTCGAGAAGAGGTCGGAATTCAATAAACGATCACATTGTTTGCATATTCATATAAAGGAAGGGAGAAGAAATACATCACATCAATGAGAGTCAGCAATGATTGCAATGATGTGACATACATGGTCGCTTCCACAGTAGCAGAAGATAAATATCCAGCCCAGAAGATTCCCGGTTTGCTTTGAGTCGATCACCATACTGACAAAACGGGATCAGTTTGTGGCACTCACTTAACCATCGTATAACTGGTAAGGGCTCCACCGTAGCTTCCTCCAACCAATATCCATGGTGCCTGACTTGGCTTCACAGCATCACCCCCAGACATGGGAAGGTTAACGGTGGTAGCGAAATACACCAAATCATCGATAGCTTGCTGGACAGTGAGGAGAGCCAGAGATTGTGACGTGAGGTTGTCGTATGGATTTGAAAACCCAAAGAAACGGTGTTCAATGACGATGGCTGCACCTTTTTGTTGTTGAGCAATAAGACCGTTAATGGTGGCATTCGTAACGTAGCCTTGATAACCTGAAACTTTGTGAGAAAGGTAGCAAATGGGCTATAGTAAGACCAACCATCTGCGTTCACTTCTCCAGGCGTATTCAGTATAATGGGACCGCCTTGAATGCATACGTCAATATCACTTGAAGCGCACCTCGATCCTCGCGACATACCAGGCTCGTAAAACTCCCAGTCCATCCAGTATCGCTGCTTGAATGTTCCAAGGTTTATATTATTGTGGTCTCTGAGCTGATCAAAATAATAGGTGGTCGTAATGTTTGGGAGTATCGTGCCATTCGGCGAAGTGAACAAACGTTCTGGCACTGGAATTTTTGGGACAGAAGGCATACCACGAGACATGGAATTGGGAATGGCTGCTCGAGCGATGCCCACAAGTAGCAGTGACATGAGGGCCCACATCTTGATCACAAGTTGAAGGGTAGGATCACACGACATGATCTTGGCGGAGAAGGGTCCTTTTATATGTAGCCATCCCGCCAAGATGTGTAGGGTAACCAGGCCACTCAGCAGCCCAATTGAAAGCGCGTGAAAGACTCGTCATGGACTCCTGGATGGCGGCAAATGCTAAGAAACCACATGAATCGTACTTGCAATTAGCTTGCCGGTAAAATTTTTAGAAGTCCACCGCCTGAATGAATATCGATGGGAGAATGCCAGCGCGCCCTGGGAGTCACCTTACAACGAATACATAGAAACTGCATATGCCGGCATGCTTTTGCGATGAGGATTGTACCATGGAGAAGTTGCTCATCTCGCCACTTTGGTACCGCAAGAGAAATGGGCAGAGCGCGTGGTTTGTTTTCGACTTCGGTAGTATTTCGCCGTCTGCTGACTTTAGTTAGCCATCGCTCGTTGTTGCACTGCTGTTTGACACCGCGACATTCGCAAAGTCGGAGAAGTGGAAGTGGACGAGGGTGTTTGCTTTGTCTGCATAGCAATCGATAGAGTACACAACCTACCCGGTTGAAAAAATGGATTTTGTGTCGTACCATTTGAGAAAGCTAAACCTGCTTTGCACAGGGTCAGAAAGGTGAGGCAAGTAATTTCTCAACGTCCTCGTCTCCTACAGTCCATCGTAAGATGCTGATAACGAAATATTGCAAATCGGTGCGACGCGCCGGTAATTTGTAGAGAACTTCACATCATGATACAACACCCGCCTGTATATCAAGAACTTCGTCATCTCGAGTCCTACAAAATGGTGATCAAGCTAGGCCCAGCTGGGAGCGCGCCCCAGACTCCTTCCAACACGGTCCAAAAATCTGTAAAGGGTCTTCCTGGTATGTCGAGAAAGAACCTCATCAAGCTCGGTGCACTGTTCACGAATAATAATATACAGTAAGTTCGGAGGATCCATAGCATGACGCTACCTATGGAGTTCAGAAAACTGTTCCCATGACACAGATATCGCACCATGTCAATTCCGGGCGGGGCAATGAATAAGGAAAGTAAAAGGATGCCATCAAGAGAAAGATATTTTGTCGAGGAAGATGTGTATGATAACAAGACCACGAGCCTTCATCGTGCGAACCGCCTCGTGAACGTCTAGATGGGACATGAGTCGGTTTGACGTTATGAAAGAGGACTAGCACACACACCACAGCAACCAGAACCAAGACGGCCACCTTCGCTAGAGCAAGTTCACTTGAACCATACTCAACAAATAAATCCATCAAGATTCAAAATCCAGCACAAACGGCGGATGATTCGTTGTGGCCGCATCAATCCAGTGACCACCCCTCGTCCGACGTTTGAAGATCATGACGACGCCATAACGGCAGTTGCAGCTCGTGAGTCGTCACAGCCTTCCCCGATAAACGACGAATGGTCACTGAATCGTACGACAAGACGTTTTCTCTAATCGGAGTAGAACCGAAGGAGAATATTAATGTTGTATTCAGAAAATCTGGAATCTGGAGGCTCTAGGCCCTTGCGATTGATCCTGCTAACTGCTTCTCGTACAAGGGCAAGCTCCACGTCGTGCATAGAGAACAAGTCCAGCGGAGTCCAAGTAAGTTTAAACACCGCTCGATGTCTTTGCAACCGGTGCATCCCGCCCGTCCACCGCATGCAGCTGCAATTGGAACATGTCATGCTCGCTGTCCTTCTCGCCCATTTTCTCATCTGCCCCCTTCCTGTACGTCTCATGTCTTCGCTGCAGCAAAAGGTCCTTTACTATGAAACTTGAAAGGCCGACAAATGAGAGCAAGTGTTGGATTTCCTTGAAGTGAACCCAGTGCCAGCAAGAAAACGATCGGAGAAGAAGTATAAATGAGACCAGGGAAAGGCACACGAGACAGCGTAGATGTACTGCAAGGGTGAACAGATCTATTACCAACTGTCCACAATGTCAATAACATCGGAACTCGCTGCATGCGCCCGTCCCTGATGCCTCCCTTGGCGACCACCAGCCTTCATGCATGTGCAAGCACCTATTCCCAGACTGAAACAGGTGCGTCCTCTTTCACAAGCTCTCCACACACGATTCCGTATCATATCATTTTCAGCAAACACATTCGAAATGTGTATGTTCATTGTTCTTTTTTCATTGAATGCCCAAGTGTTTTTGATACCTCGGGCAAATCATGAACTGGCACGGCCTCTTGTTACCCGCAATGTCCAGCAACGATTTCATGACACCCTGTAGCCTGTGTCAGACTGTTCTAACACGCTTTCTGGTGGATAAGTTTTATTTTATTTTCTATTACAAGCGGTGACCTCCGGTCGTGGCTTTTTATTGGGACACTCATGTGATTCCAGCACAAAAGCAGACATTTGAACCCCACATTTGCACTATCTCTTTCCTCGTTTACTCCTGCACACGGAACAATGCAGTATACGTTGACCGTGCGACCTGGGCAGCCATTGAAAGTAGTTGCGTAAGGGAAATTAAGTTTGCGATATTCGTTGTCCAACGGGATCGTGACGCGTGACGCGTGATAGTCCGAGTCCGCATCCACCTGGGTTGCCCTATTAATAAGCCTTATTATACTTGGCAGTTACGTGTCTCGCCAACTATAATTAGGCTTGGTTTCATCAAATCCCTACACCAGCGTTAAATAGTGCCCCAGCTCCTCAAAATACCTTCAAAAAAACTATGTACACCTCACTATGGTGGGCGCGCGCGCGCGCATAGGCTATATTCGGTAAGCATCCCGCCCCGCCTTAATTGCGTCATATTCCTATTTTAATTCGGCACGCTCGGCAACGCCTACTACGCTTCCTAATTCGAACCAAGGGGCCCTTCTCACGCTTCCTAGCTCTCCTCATCACTGTGCTCATCGTCCCTGCCGTTCCCTGCCTCCATCGTGCCCCCATTGTTCCGCCTTTGTCGTCGTCGTCGTCAACCTCCTTCGTTCCTGCCGTTTCCCACCTCCCTCGTGCCTTCTCAACCTCCTTCGTACCTTCGTCGTCGTCGTCCTTCGTACCTGCCATTTCCCAACTCCCTCGTGCTTTCGTCGTTGCCCTCCTTCGTATCTGCCGTTTCCCGCCTCCCTCGTGCCTTCGTCGCCCCAACCCAGTAATGCCTCGTGCCTCAGGTGTCGGGAGGGTCAAAGGGCTCTCGAAATCCATCATTTCCCATGGTTTTAGAGGGGGTCATCGCTATTCCAAAGTCCTGGCAGCCGGCAAACAAAGCCAGCGTATGGCAGAGGCAGATTCCAGCTGCCAGGCTGCTATACAAGGTATGTACTATTTTCTTTTTTTATCATTAACGCTTATTGTTGTATTAGAAATGTCATCAGAGGACCGAAGCCGCGTCGAAAATATGATGGCAGATTTTGGAATGGACGTGGAGGTGTTCACCCATACAGTGCCTCCAGGTGAAGAGGCCTTTGACCTCAGTCACGCAGGTGGGGAGCATGAGGCATTTGAAGACCTTGCTCATCAACTGGCGGATCTAACTGGATAGTACGTATTCACCACTGTGTACAACTCTTCAAATATTAACACCCATTGTAGTCATCACATTGATCCACGAATTCAGGGAGAACGCATCGACACTCAAACCGCTCATTGGGGCCTTCAGATAGATCGTCTCGTTGACGCCTACTTAAACTATCGCAGTCGAGATTCCGGGGACGGTATGCCTGATATTTCAGATCAGGTCCTGTCAGGTGTCGATGCTTCATTCTCAATTAATGAGATTGAACTCATTGATACATTCAGTAAGTCTGAAACGTTCCTTGATATCTTGTACTTATTTTTTCTTTGCAGCACGAAGGCGCTCGCATCTACGACCATTACCGTCTCATCAATACCCGAATGAAACCCTCATCTACTATGGGTACATCGGGTGTGCCCCGATGTATCCTTCTGTTGCCATCTCGCTTCGTACACTCGCTGCCTACCGTCAGTCGCACCGAACGTGTCCCCGGTTCAGTATCCAATCACAATGCAAGACTTTATGTTACCTTCACGATGTACGTACATTCCTCACATTGAGGTTCGTTTATTTACGTTGAGTTTGTAGATTCCATATCGGCCATACTTAAAAATGCAATTCTCGGCAGCCTATGACGTTTTTCTAGAAATCCTCCATCACATCAACCAGCGTCTGCGTCAGGCGCTCAAACAGGATACCGTCAACTGGCATATGTTAAACACATGCCCTGCATGCTTTTACAAGCTCGACGATGAACCTGCCCTCGATTTTGAATGGCTGGTATCAATTGACGGTAACAATAGCCTGAAGCGATGGGACTCGTCCATCTATGGTACCACCGCCCGATCTGATTCTCGCACAGCTCGTTCGGATTATTGGATTCATGCTGACGCTGTTGACAAGTTTGAGAATGAAGTCAAATCCCGACAAGTAAGTGTTTACTATGTATACAACTATGTTCTAACATTATCTTTTAGACAGACTTGAGGAATGATGACGACTGGGAGGATGAGCCTACAGACCCGGATCATCCGGGAGCATTCACATGCGTCAATCGATGGAGAAACGCTGGCCCAGACTCACGTAAGAAGATGTTTGCCGTATTCCAAGAGTCAGGTATTTTTATCGCTTCATGCCGCCATCGCTTTGTGCTTCTCGCGTGTGATATGATCCGAAGCGGAGAACTGTAAGACCGCATTTTGATCTAATTTTTATATTACTAATGTATTCTGGCAGTGCGAAATATCCGATAGCGATCATCGACAAACTCCTTACGGTATATGGAAAAAATGGAGGTTGCGCGTACGATATCGGTTGCGCATTCTCGAAGACGTTAGCTAATAGTACGTTGGGCCCTCGTGCACACGATCTCGGCTTTCGGATGATGGTTGGCGCCTTCCATGGCCATGCGCACAATCGAAGGTGTCAGCTTGACTGGCACCCAATGTATATCTCTGGAACTGGCCATACTGAGGGCGAGGGTTGTGAGCATATCTTCTCTGCATCTAACGAGCTTGCGCGTAGCACAAGGCATGCTAACCGTTTTCATCGCCACCAAGCCATCGAGGAACATTTCGCTTTTTGGGATGCCGATAAGTATGCTGCACTTAGTAAGTCAAAAAATCAAGCTGTAATTGTAATACTGATGCCGCAGTGTCAGGTAATTATTTGTGGACTCATTATCGCGAAGCGTTGAAATCTGTTCGGTTGCTGACAGCCGAGCTAGAAACTATCAAGGCCGAGCTACACCTTAGCGACAACGACTTCCCTGGATTCTTTGATCAGGAACGCATATATCTGGATGGTCTGAAGCAGCCAGCTCCACGAGATCGACTCTCTATACGTTACGTTGAAGTACTAGACGAACTCGCTGAAAGAAGGTATCGTGCCATCGACTACTAACTACCACCCATCCCCTGATATGAATTTTAATAGAGCTGAATGGGATCTCGCCCGTGAATCTGGCAATAACGCTCTTAATGGAGTACATATTGGCAGCTTGGAACAGATGCATGACGCCCTGAAGCAAGCTCGCATCCGAGTTAATTCTTCATACGCCAAATTACAGCATGCCGAGGGGCTTGTTGCTCATTGCGAAACACTCTTATCTGTCGATGAGAGATGGTTGATTGGCGGTGACGAATACAAACGTTTCAAGGAGGAAGCGACACTCGGCAAGTATCGTACTGCATTGGATGAACTCGAACGTTTGGTCGTCATGAGATTGTTTGAACTCTCAAAGCTCTCGTTATCGGGCACAGGTTTGAGATTTCCACTACTAGTAAGCGCTTGTACTATGACTGATTCGTTTACAAATTGTTTAGGATACAAACTACGTCAACAGATTAGTAAAGCTTTACAGCGGCGCTCGGACACTATTCGCAACGCGATCAATCGCTACAATATCCAGGCTGCTTCCCTCATCCCACCGAGACAAACGATCGCATGGAAAGACATTGCCGAATACAGTTTCCTTGGCGAGTTTGACCTTCTGCGTGACTCTCGTACTGACATCCAAGACAAGGATTGGGCAAGGCCAGCTCACCGTGAGGCGACTACAAAGTACTTCAAGCTCTGCCGAGCTCGCGAAGAAATTATTCGACTCAATATTGAAATTCGCCAGCTCCGAACTGCTATCCACGATGAAACCATTGACACATCTGCCGTTATCGACGAACTTCTTGTAGCTAACCCTTTGCTTGCTGCCGAGTTGAAACGCCAGTGGCGCTCACGGGCGGCTATCAACGCTGTGCACACATATCAGTTAGATCAGATTGAGAGACTATTTGGATTCTCTGGTATTAGTGGCATTGGAACTCGCCTTGCGAATCCTGCGTTCAGCAGACCAGTCAATACCAACGGTGCTAGTTCCGGTGAGTGTGGATCTTTAACTACCTATATCGCATTAATTCTCGCCACAGCACAAGCAGAGAATCCTGATTCTTCTGCGTCGGAATTCCATGATATTGAAGCCCTTGACCGTGAAGAGCACGAAGTGGTCACCGAAGACATGGCTGATTTTTTGTACTCAATAAACGACTGACACCATCTCTGCTTTGTAATTGTTTTTTTTCATGTACCGCATAGGACTACATATATGAGAAGTTTTCTGGTTTGATCGGTGATATAAGAAAGAGTAGGTAGACGATTGTATAAGTGATTGTGTGGGTGATATAAGAAAGAATTGAACAACTTGAATACCTATGATGTTCGGATAGGTTAGTTGGCGACCCTGAGCTTTCTGCATGGTGACCTCGTCGCGATTCCTTGATCCAACTTGAATGTCGATGATGTTTGGATAGGTGAGTTGGCGATCTCACCTTGATCCAACTTGAATGCCGATGATGTTCGGATAGGTGGACCAACTTGAATGCCGATGATGTTTGGATAGGTTAGTTGGCAATCTCAAGCTTTCTCCTGTGGTGACCTCATCACGATGATATTCAGATAGGCTAGTTTGGCGACCCCTGGTAGGCTTTCTTGAATGTTAGGGAGACTCTTTGCCTGACTCGGAGGATTATGCGGCTATCTGAAGTGTCATGCCGTTCATAGCATAGTCCTTTGTCATTCCTGTATGAATATGCATTGTATACTATTTTGTACTATGTAGTTGTGTGATATCCGATCTTGCAAAGTGAGCTCACGTGCTGTATTGAGTGTCAAATCACGGACAACGCAATATTCTGCTGAACACATGTATTCAGCTGAATTCTATAGCAGCAACTTGAAGTCGCCAGCCTTTCATTTTCTTCATGGTTTACGACCACTGCTATTTCATGCTTGATCTGTGCTTCTGGAACTCATTCCAGAATTGCATGGCCTGCAAAAGTGAGTATTACATTTTACGTTTTGGCGCTTATCTGTGCTTTTAACCTTGCTTCACAACTACAGACTACATCACCGGTTCCATAATGGTCACTCCAATCTCTAGCCTCAGAGCCACTGCGTCTATCACCTCCGTTCAGCCCTCAAGTCAAACCACGGAATCAGCCACTAAAAAATTCGCCATCCCCAGTCTTGCCAATCTACACAACTCAACGTTCGCTCAAGGATTCAGCAATAACGAACGTCAAGCGGCCGCCAGGGCTTTACTGAGACACGACGTTCACATTGACGGGACACACTATCAGGCTAGACTGCCTGGTGGCCTTCACCCGTCGTACTTTGCCTTTAGCAGCACTGCTAAACGAACCAGTGAAAAATCCCTTACCCACGAGGAGCTTCTGGAGGCATCACTGCAAGACGTCTTCGACGCCGTGAGTCATTCAAGTCAGTGTCCGCATCTTATTTATGTCTCACTTGTTTCCCAGCTGAGTATGCAAGATCGCCTTGATGGCGGAATTTCTGTCCTCATTCGATGCGCTGGGTCTGAAGCAGTCTCTTCACCCGAAAACCTCCCTGTCGACCTCTACATTACGCCCCGCGAACTACAAGAAACTCCCGAGCGAATTGGCGGAGACCTTGCCGTCTGGGTGCAGGTATTTGCCCAGGAGTTTGCAATGCCACACCTCGAGCGGTTCAATCAACGTTGTGTCATCGAAAACATCCAACCGCCACCATGCTGTAAGTAGTAGATCATTTTCGGCTTCACTGTTCACACAACTGACTCAAATTCAACAGTTTCTGCGGCTCATATCAATGTCAAGGGCCCACAGTATCTACCTGGCCCAGTGGTTGCTACTGGAGCGCATATACAATGTTCTGCTCAACCGGCCCATACCTTCACGCAAGAATTGAAAGCAACTGCGGTGCACGATGCTCCTTCTGCAGCTATCCGCGGGGGTGCAGAAATGAGCGAAGGTATTGGCGAGAACATTTCGCCACAGCTGACCACCCAACACACACGAGTTCGCCGACGCAGGCACGCGGAAATTTTCACACCCGGCAAGGTAACTAATGATGGCCCGATTTTTTCGGTACCAAGACTGGAGCAGGATACTGCATGTGGACCGCCACTCATTAGTATTGGACCGAATACTGACGCCGCTCTGGATTGGATTAAGTTGGGGGATGAAGTTTTACCTAAGCTCCGTGTTCTAGTTCAAACTGTGCGTAGCAGCCGATGGGAGGCAGTGTTCAGGTCTCCAAAATGGGATCTCTCGTACGAACATGCTTCCATTCTGTCTAGGGCGCTCCTGGCTGACCTTCAGGGCATGCCACGTAGCCCTGATGTTGTAAAGGTCAGTGATATTATTTTGGCTGCTGCTGTCATACTAACTCAATTGAATGTCCATAGCAGCCGTCATCTGTCCTCATGTCCATTTTGAAGCTTATTGGTATATTGATTTTCTTATGCGGCCTATACTTTTTCGGCATCTTATTATTTTGGCTGTAGATCACTTTCCCCTTTTGAGTCTTAGTTATAAGCCATGTGTCCTGTTTTTTTGCCGTGGGTTAGAAAAAATAAATGCATTGGTGTGTATAAAATATTCGTATTCAACTACAAAGGCCCTTTGCTGATTTTTGCCATCCTTCTGTGGGTGATGGTCTCCCAGTCCTTCTATGCTGCGAAGCGCATTCAAGCACCACCTCGTAGTCGTCCTAAGGTCACCCTCAGCAAAGAAGCTCGCGCGGCACTCAAGTTTCAGCGAACCGAGAAGTCGCGTCAATTCAAGGATGCGCTTGATCTTGCATGGGGCCAAATTGACGATGTTACAACAACCATTGCTGCTACCCATCGCAAGAGCTTCCGTCGTGTACAGCACGATTTATACATGGGTCGGGGATCACTCCGTTCGAAGCATTCAAAGCCCAGCGTTTGGAACGCATTTTGCTGGAAGAAATCTCAGGAAGCGAAGAAAGAGAACTGTAAGTCTGTTGATTTGTATCATATGCATTTTCATGACTCAATGTTGAATTAACAGGCAATGGCCACGGAAAGGAAGCACTCCAGTCACTGGTCCGCGACCACAAGGATGAATACGACGCTCTCACACAGGAAGAACAACAAGAGTTGCTCCAGGAATTCGCCGACCAGAAGGAGACCAAGGTCTCTGGGTTACGTGTCTCAACGAAGTCGAAGATCAACGACATCACTCAAACCCTGAAGGCGGTAGAAAACGAGGTACGCACCCTCGAATTGCAATACAATGTTACTAAGTGTCTCGTTACTAGCTCAATAGTTTAAATTCTCGCACTGGCGCCGAGGTCATGTTGTATATGACGCGCGGTACTACTGATCTACCTCTCCGTGCAATCACCTTCACAACGCCGGGTGTCAATCACTTTATGGACTCTGTCATCGGCATCGATACTCAGGACTTCCTCAGCAAGATGGAAGGTTTCGCTATCCAAGGGATACAAGGTACAGTTTTTCCGTTGTTATTACATTCTCAAGTTAATTTCTATTTGTACTAGGTGCCGCAAGCAACCATCAAAAAGAGGTCTCTAAGGTTCGCGGAGACATTCGAGCAATCATCACCCAGAAATTGAGTAAGTCTTTCCCATCTTTTGACAGCACAGAATTCATTTTATTCATAGGGAAGGTGACCGGAGAAAGCAATGCCAGGATGCAGTGGGCAGACTACTTTCGTAACGTGGTCAACCGCTATCAGGTCGCCATCAAAGGATGGCCGGAGCATATCCCATTCACAAACCTCAGCAGTGTGACCAACGCGCTTCCGGACCTCCATACTCTTTTAGACTGTTGGAAGTCGGGCGATACGAGGTGGGAAGTGTTGAATGACGAGGAACTCGAGCAACTCCGTCGCGAGCGCAATGAAAAAATTGACAGTGGTGACATTATCGAGTCCCGCCGCAGGACACGGTCCGACAAGGGTAAGAAGCGAGTACGACATGCGATAGCTGACCCCAGATGTAGCAAGAAGCACAAGAGTGCGGAGACCATTGAGTCCAGTGACGACGAAGATACCCAGAGTCATGGACGGACACCAGACGGTTCGGAGGATGTCAACACCACTCCGAACGCCAACTCGAACTCTAATACGACCGGGTGTACTGCTGGACGGACACCAGACGGTTCGGAGGATGTCAGCACCACTCCGAACGCCAACTCGAACTCTAATACAACTGGGTGTACTGCTGGACAGACACCAGATGGTTCAAAGGATGTCAGCACCACTCTGTTACGACGTGTGTCGCGTGCGGACTGGGATGATCTAACAGCGACGATCACGACAGTGATATCTCGTGCTGAGAGTCCGAGGTCGACTTCCACAGAAGAGCGGAAGCTGCGTACGCTTGCGGAGGCGAGCGATGATAGCGAGTTACAGGCAGAAGGGGTCTCAAGTCCTTCTGAAGGTACAGATCTGATGTCAAGCAGGTAGCTTTAGCAAGACAAGGAGTTCAAGGTAAAACCCAGTAAGATTAAAGTAAGGAACATCTACTTTAATCTATCGACCTTATATAAGGCTACTCTATCGTATCTAAGCTCAGCTTGAAGCTGGGTTCTAAGTGCTTATCTATCGAGTCAGAGATACCATGCATGAGGCAGGCTTCTATCTAGGATAAGGATCGCGAGGTGTCCTTCTATCAGTACATGAGGCAACACGAGGCTTGCCTTCTATTTTGATAACATATATAGGTCTTCTAGACCTATGTCGTCATATCATGTAAGCGATCCAGATCGCTTACCTAATCCGGCATCTTCCGGACTTCTCTTCTATTCGTCATCTATCATCAAGGCCTAAAGGCCCGGTTGTCGTATCGTTGCCGTGCGAGGTGGCAGAGGGCTGGTCGTGTAGCTGGGGGCTCACGTAGTGACTGTAACATTACCCCATTACTACGCACAAAGTCACCGGCTTTGTATTCTTTAAACGTCTTCTTCCATCGTAGCAGGGAGTGGTGCGGGAATTGCTGATGTGGAGACGGAAGGTGCTGAGGGAGGTTCAGGGACAGGGGAAAGTTCAGTGGGATGTTGAAGTTCTAGATCCGCGAGTGCCTTGTGGTTATGCTCCCAATCTAAGAGAGCTTCGAAAAACTTCTCTTCGTCACTAAACTCTTGGAGCACAATGCGTCCGTCGAGTCGCGGACAGTGGACCGACAGATGGTCAGGTCCTAGTTCATCGCAGATGCAACAAACAT